ATATATATATCGATAGACATACACACATATATAAATGAAGGATCCACTTATTTCAATAATAAGTTTATTTAAATTTATTTTACTCAGTAACTCATGTTTTACGTTAAATTTTAATTATATAACCGTTAAATTAAAAATTATTAATGTATAGATCAAGTTTATAAATATTTGATATTTTATTTTATTAATTTAAATTAACAAATAATAATAAAAATATTTGATATATTGATTTGAATTAACAAAATAGAATATCATATAGTTTTAATTTTTAAAAAAATTTACAAATTTTATTTATACATTAAGAACTTTTAATTCAATGGTTAGATCATTAAAATTTATTGTAGAATATGAATTATTAAATAAAATAAATTTAAATATATTTATTTTCAGAATAAGTAAATCCAATCTTATATATATATATATAGAAATTTGTTAATCTACATTCACCTAATTATCTTTTAGTTAGAATAACTAAAACAAACTTGTTAACATACTTTAACTTAAAAGAAAAACATGCACACAAATAGGTGTATAGTTGCAAATTTTGGTAAGTTTGTTAGTGGACACTCAGTCACTTTTCAGATGAAATGTGTTAACAAATCATAATTACAGTTTTCTTAAAATACACTAACAACAAAGTTTACAACTAAAACATAAAATGATATGATGTACATTAACAATTCCTTCTCACTCATCACTATATACATACATAAAGTATGACTCAAATAAAAACACTCCCTAATATATAAGAATACGAGAACAATTCATCACAAGTTTATATTAAAATAAAGTGCTTAAAATAATCATAAATAAAACTATGAAAATGGATCTGCTTGAGTTGACAACCGTGAGATTGAGTAGATGACCGTGAACAGATATATAGTTCACAACCCTAAGCTTCTCTTGATTTCCAAATTAATTCCTACTTTTGCTCCATCATCCGATCTCGAAAAGCTCGTGGCTTCACTTTTGATGATATTTCAATGCTTTCTCTGTCAATCCTTGAAGTGTATTCAGGTCCAAAATACCTAATTAAAAACATAAGAACCCCGAAAACGTAACAAACTCCCCAAAAAAGGAAAAAAAAAATAATAAAAACATACAAAATATGCAATAAATCCCAAGCAATGATATAAAATACAATACGTCAATGCACAATATAGTAATTAAAATAAGAGTTAAAATAAAATTTATATATTTATTTGATGAGAAAGTGAGAAAGTAAAATACTAGTTTAGTGATTTTAAAAAACAAAAATATAAAAAAATTATTAGGATAGCTGACCTAAAGTGTGGCCCTTATCTTGGTAGCGCATAATTAGAAGCAACGAGGGACGACGTGTACCAATGGTTGCAGAATGCAGATTGAATCACCGCATCACATCACATCTTTAAACCCAAACGTGACGCAACGCAACGCAACGCATTTTTCTTTCCCTTGAAGCCTTGAAGGCTTGAAGGCTTGAACCCAACCTCTCTCAGTTTCTCTGCTCAACCAAAACGGCAACGTATGGTTACTTGCAACAGCCACCTGGTCCTCTAAATAACACTTTCTGCAATCTGCAATCTGCAATCTGCATAAACCAACTTCATTTAAAATCATATTCCAATTATTAGATTGTTTCTTTATTTACGATGAGAGGACAACAAGATCATCAATCAAGGCTTTTCTGCGAGCTCTCCGCTCTGCTTTTCAACCTCCTCCGCTCGCCGATCGTCCCGGACTCGCCGCCGAGCCGTTCGCCGCCGCCGCCGCCGCCTCAGATTACTCCGGCGGGGTTCGCCTCGCTGCTCCTGGGGATCTCGGTGGCTCTGATGCTCTGTGGATCGGTCACTTTCTTCATCGGCTTTATGCTGATGCCGTGGGTTCTCGGATTGGTTATGTTGCTCTACGTCGCTGGCGTCGTTTCCTCTCTCTCCTTTCTCGGCCGTTCCATTCTCTGTTACGCTACGCCGCGCAAGGATCTTCCCGGTAAGAATCAAAAAAGATTAACACACTTTTTTTTTTTTTTTTGCTGCAGAAATTTAGGTTTATGTTTATTAATTGATCATAGAAATTGTACGATTTAAGAGCGTGTATTGGATAAGTTATGACTTATGACTGATTGTGTCTAGTCCTGTGGCTGTGGGGACCCAAGAGGAAGTTTCTCTGTTAGTTTTTTTGTCTTTTTCCTTTTTTACCCTTCCAGTTTTCAGAGCTTTCTGCTTTTGCGAAGAAATTCGAGGAAGATTAATTGGCCTTTTGAGAAATTTGCGGAGTTTATGCTATGGATGTTGAAAAACTCTTGTTTTTGTCTCTACCTATTAGGTTTAGTTTGGGGGAGACTTGCGTGTTCAATTTAATTGTTTTGAGGGGATAATTATTATGTATTGTTCCATTCCATAATAAATTACCTAATGGCAATCCAATATTGTGTTAGATTCTATTCTATGCTCTGCCACCGATCCAAACATAGCCTAAAAAATTGAAGCAAACATCCCTAAACGTTATCTTTTATTACAAATCATTGTTGAATTAAATTTTGGGTGCAGAGATATTGGCATGTAAAAAGTGAATTACAAGCTCTTCGCAAGCTTTTCAATTAATAAACTTCTTTTGCCCATCATATCTCTTCACAATCTTATCAATTGTCTGTTTGGTTTCCTGTGCTGGCACCTGCTGCATGCATTTAATTTGCTGAAATTTTGGCATAATGTTGTTTAAAAGCTATTAAGGAAGTTGTTTTTGTATTCTTCTTTTCCTTATATCTAGATTCTTTTGTTCTAGGGGTAGTAGATCTCTCAAATTGATGAAGATTAGGACTTCTGGTTTGACCTTCTGCAGTTTTGTTTTCCTCCTCATCTGTGGTTTGTTTGAGCTTTTATCAGGGTTAAAATATGAAAGTTTCCTTCGTAACATGTTACCCTCGTGCCTAAATTGCCAATGTTGTTAAAGATTCAGGATGCAAGCCATAAGATATTTAAACTTTTCTAATTGAGCCTCCTGTATCGAGGCCCCTTATAACCACAACAGTTGGGGAATTGGCAATATCATAGATAGATAGGCTGCAGTTCAGTATGTAGATACTGAATTTGCTATTACCATTTACCGATCAGGAACAGGATATAGCAGAGTAGCAGTTTGACGATAAAGGACTGTGGTAAGGTTTTGTTCATTCATTATTTTAGGTTATTGTAGTTTTCTTTTTGAAACGGATTTCCACATGATTAGGAACTGTATTCTAAAAGTTTTAGGTTCAAATTATATTGGGAGGTGAAGTGGAGCTACTAATGGAGTGAAAATTATGAGAATGAGTTAGATCATATTGTGGCCTTTGATGAATCTTAAAAGAAAGAAAAGCTGAATGCTTTTTGAATCAAGGGTTGGATCCGCTATATTAGTTTTGTTTTGAATCAGTTAATAAATACAAAAATGCTTTTCCTGGTTTTGGACATTCTTATTTGGAAATGATTGAAACTGGTATACTAATGTTGCTTAAGGTTGACTTAAGTTAGCAAAATCTACCTTATTTTTTACCAAGTTTGCAAATTCTACCGTTACTTGGCTTTGATACATGATACATAACCCATGTAAACTACAGGTAAAAGATTCCAATTTAACACTTAAATTACATTTTAGCCCCTATAAAATCTTTATTTGAATAACATATTTGCGTGGTGTTCTATTTAAATTGCTAAGTTTCAATATTTGTTTGTTTTATTTCACCATTTCTGCTGTTTATTTTGACTTAATGGTATTGTTAATGTTCTTGATCACATCACTCTTTTTGGTTGGGTTATAACCTGATAGCTTTATTACCGATTTTTGTTGTTTCAGAGTGGAAACTTATATGAAAGATAAATAACGGAATTGATCAGTGCGATACTGGTTTTGTGCCTGCCTGCTTGTGCAGCCTATAGAACAATGGAGATTACGGATCTTCTCTCACTAGAAGCAGGAGTCGTGGATATCAGGCATTTGTTAAAAGTACCAAAATCTGTGGATATATCTTTTCTTTTAACTACAACAATTAGCGAAGTAAAGTTCTGAAGAATTGAGGACATGTTTCCAGCTATTGTCTTTTGCTGTTAATTGTTATATCTTTATTCTACCTTGTGTAAAATTTGAATTATAGGATTGAGTTTATTTTTTTAATATTTTTTTTCCATTTCCAAACATGGTATATGTACTATAAAATGAAAGGGAAAGTATGATCCAATATTATCAAAACTGGATGGGATTAATGATTTCATCAGGATACTCAGACTTGTTGAATTTGTATGAAATGGTATAGATTGGAATTTTAAATTTTTTATTAAAGATAGGATATATATATATATAGGGGAATGCTAATGTACTCCTACCTATTTTTTAGTGGGAGTATGTTAGCAACCTACACCAATTTTTTAGGACAAAAAAATCACTCATTTATTTTGATTTGGTTAATTCGTACAAAGGATATTATAGTAATTTAATTTAATTTTAAATGAAAATAAAAGTCGAGCCTATCTCTGATGAGAAACTGGAGGAATTGTTGGATGACTTTGCTAAAGAGGAGGAACCTATCTATCCAAAGGAGGGAGATAGTTTGGTCGAGTTTCTATCTAAGAAAAAGGATGCTGATAGGGAAGTCATGTTATGTCCTCGATGCAGTGCTGTTTTCGACAAAGCCGCCGCTAAGGCCTTTGAGGAATCTAAGGGGGGTGTATTGGGATTTCGTAAGATTTTAAAAGACTTTTTTTGAGTAAAAAAGTCCATTGGTATTCAATCAAGATTTTATGTCACTTAAAAACAATCCAGTGGTATTCAATCTGGATTTTCAAGATTTTTTAAAGAGTCCATTAAAATCCACTGATATTCATTTGAGATTTTTTACAACTTAAAAACAATCCATTGGTATTCAAAAATATAAGGATTTTAAAGGATTGTTGTATGAGAGGGATTTTGAAGGACTTTCTAGTGTTATCTATAAGTTATTTTGACATAAATGACGTCTAGTGTTTGATTCTCCTGGGATTCCATTTTGAAAGTAATTAACCAAATATGAAGATGGTTGTGTTAGTACCCGTTTTCTAATTAACAGCGTCTGGTCTGACTCACAAGTCACAAGAACATAGTTGTCATTTAAACATTTTTTGTTTTTTAAAATTGAGAACAGAGATATGCCTTGCTTAAGTAGGACTCCGGCTAAACTAAATTTTGCTTGTTTTAAAAAGGTTTATAGCACTATAATTACAACTTTTTATTACCTATAACTTGAGTTGAAACTTAATTGGGCTAAATGAGTTTTGCAAAAAGAATGAGTTACTACTCCAGACTAATGGTTTGACCGATTTAATCGGAAACTGGATGTATAGTTGGAGTAGTCAATTTATTACAAGTTAGAAATGTATTGAAGGTGATATTAATGTGAGGAAACCCTCTGAACCGATAACAAACGGCTGACTCGGCCACATACTCTCTCTCTGTCACAACCTGAACGCTCTTTAACGCCATTCATTGAACCGTAGCACTCAGTCATCGCTGAACCTTTCTTCATGCGTCAGAAGCGGAATTCATACCAGCCAGGACACTTTTATTTATTTATTTATTATCATTTAAATATTCTTATTATTATTGTTGATTAAAATCTATTAAAATTATAAAATTTAGCAAGACTCACCATTAAATCAAGAGAAACTTATTAAATTTTAGTAAAATTTACATTCTTTTTAATGATTTTTAGTCAATAATAATGTAAAATAAAGACCGATTAAGTAAGGACCTGGACCGGTAACATTAATATTATTCGATCAGAAATAAAACCCCATCCATGTCAAAACAAATTGTGCCACTAAACCAATGCTAGTACTTAAATATGTTGTATAATACCATACTTAAGTTGCCCGCTGTTGAAAGGCAAACAAGATTAATATCGGAAAGGGGAGTGAGGCGAGTCAAACTAAGTCTAGGACTTGAAACTTCTCCACAGACTTGCAACAAAACTTAAAAGTGAGGTCAAAATAGATATTCCTTATTAAAATTTAAATTTAAAATAATTATCAAATAAAAAAATTAACTATTAATCTTATTTGTCGAATTATTTTAAATTATAACCAACGACAATAAAAGTTAGTGCATTGGTTAACCATATTTATGTTTTGTTTAAGGAGAGAAGGATGAAAGAAATATGTAATATAGAAAAAAGTAAAAGAGAAGAAAAAATAAGTAGAAAATGAATTGATTATTAGAGTATTTGGATCGAAAGAAATAGAAAAGAAATAAGAGAGAAATAGATTAAAAAAAAAATTAGTGGGTGTCACAATTTTTCTGAAGTTTTTTACAATATCTCTTCATTTATGAAAAGATTTTTTTTACCATGGGCCCTACTACCCTTTCTTTCTTCTCTCACTTTTCTCTCTTCCAAACAACTAAAAAATTTATTTTCTTTTAACAATCTACATCCTTCTTTTTCAAAATCTATCTAAACAAGCAATGGTTAATCGTAGGCTGATTGTTAAAAAAAAAAAAAAAAACTTGGAATCAGTCATTTCTTTTTGTGTCTCACAAATAATAGAAAATGATATTTTTTTTACCAAAATAATTCCTTCCACGCTTTTCTCCTTAAAATTTTCTTAAACAACATAATTAGACAAGTAGACGATTAATTTTTTTTTCCGTGATATAAAGATAATTTAAATAAGTTTTAACTTTCTCAATTTTATTTATTTTCATTTACATGTCTCGAATTCAAACTCTTATCAACATTTTTAATTACTCAAACTATTAGTTATTTCAGACCTTATTTATACGAACCAGTTAGCTGAGCAAACCTTTAGCATCCCCTTACAAGAGAAACGTTAAATCCATGATTAATTTTCACAATCCAATTCTAGACAGCAATAAACTTAAGACATGTAATTAGATTATAGCAAGAGTAAATAGAGCAAGACACCATCCAAAAACTCTTACAGCAGCTAGCTTAGGTTAGAAAGTTTTCCTGCCTTGGCTAAGATTCCATCCTAAATATTGTACCTAACTCTTGAATTTTTTTCATACCCCAGCAATGTTATCTGCATCCTACCCCACCAATTCAACTCAAAAAAAAAAAATCCTACCCCGCCTAGTCCTATGCGGGTGCAGAGGCATAATATAAGATGTTGAGGAGTAAAAAAGACTTTTTCTAAAATTGTACCTGCCTTTAAAACTTGGAAGATTCACATATTCTTCTACATAAATGACTTAATAAAAAACACATAGATCAATAGTATATTCCATGAGATAGAGAAATGAAAGAAGAAATTGAGTCATCAATCCTTGATCACATCTTAAAAGTTACATCACAACAAAATAATTTAAACCAACATAAAAAATAACAAAAAGAAAAACAGCAATGATAGAATAAAACAACATGCAGAGAGGTACATTGCTAGTGGTTATAATTATCCAGAGTAAATATGCACACCAATTGCAAGAAGAAATATGGTGATGAGTCCAAAGAAGATGATAGTGTGGACTAAGATAGATAGTCCACTAGTTTGCATACTTCCAAAGGCCACCACCCTGCCCTTAGCTGGAAGCTGAAAAAGCAGCCCTGGACTTAGTAGCACAAACAGCACCACTGATATCACCACTGGACCCCAATCAGCAGCCATCACCTTGCACAATAAACTAAATTACTAACTCTTTTGCAACAAATATAGTGATAACAAGTTTAAGATTGTGATCTCTTAGTTTTCGATGAATGGCATGTTATGATCTGTGAGCTTATTAAATAGGAAACTGAAGAATGATTCTGATCTGGGTCTGAGGCAATTGAAGCAATGAAGCAAGGTATAATTGACAACCAAAAAATTAATGAGCATCAACTGCTGGCTTGTAGATTGATGCTAACTGGAGCATAACGTGTCAGGGCATCTTATGAATCTAGCTATCATATTGCTTTTCGTTCAGGAAAAGTTTTCTACAGATATTCTTTATACAATTATGATATTTCCACTCTCATTCTTTCATTTTTTGCATCTCCTCGTTCTTTTGATGTCTTTCTTGCTTTTCAACAACCTTTCACATTTCTGATTTCTCATATTGCTATTAATAGAGTATATAAATCGGAAAAAAGGTGTGAAACAATTTTTCCCTGATCAAGTTTTTTTTTTATCCGATTATATTTTAGTAAAAGGCTATTGTCAATTAATAAGAAACTAGTACGTATTATCATTTAGAAGATTACTTTTTCAAATTGTTATATAACAATAAGAAGAAGAAAAAAAGAGTTTTGAATTCATTCTTCAAATGTGTGCATTTTTCGGTCTAACATCCTGTTCGACCCATTCGAAGAACTACAAACAAGTTGAAAAATTATGCAGATTCCTCGAGAAATAATATGAAGATGGACACCTTCCAAATGGCAAATATTCGAGATCGAGAAGAGTTATGCTCGAAAACTAGTAAAAGTGTAGTACCAATGCATATGAAAGTGGTCAAACGTCTAAATTGAGACGTTAACACATGTGGGGACAGGTAGGTCGAGAGGTTAATATGAACGTGGGAGGACAGTTAAAGGAAGTTATAACTCAAGACCACGTAGCAAGCATAGTGGATAGCGGTTATGAGCTAGAGGGGAACATGAACAAAATTAACCGCTCTTGATTGCTCTATAAATACAAAGATTACGGACTGTAACGAGGTCGGAAAAACTCATACTTGAATTAGCTTCTGAAGCATTCTCTGCCTACACACACATATGGCTTTCGTGCACAAGATCGTTTTTGGGTATGACTGACTCTCGGCCACTTTTCTTTTCTCTTTTTAGGAGTAGAAGTAGAATAGTCTTCTTGTTCTTCGTTTAATCACGTAGTGTATTCATATACTTTGATCAATATGTTTTCATGTGTAATGTAATTTGACCATTGTACGAAATGAACTATGATTTGCATTGCTAATATACGTGTTGTTCATTCTGTGCATTTAAGTATTTACATACATGAACATTATTGCTTGATAATACTTAAAGAATATTTAGAGACAAGCAATTCTTGAAAGTTTCCACTCTGTCTCTGTTCTTTGCACTGTGTTCCAAATACATAAGAACGTTAACATACCTAAATTGAAACATTGATTGTGCTAGTCCGAGTAAAAAGAATCCTTAAAACAAATTCCACCGTAAACAAATACATATCACGGTACGAATAGTTTTCCCAGTGATTTCATATAACTATATCACCTAAATCAACCACCTATTTGTTTTAACATATTTGTATTTAAATTTAGAGTTAATCATCTATACACTGTCAGTATAAAATTTTTTACACTGTCAACTAATTATCTTTTAAAATTATTTATTTTATTATTATTTCATTAAATAAGCAACTGACATAACACTATCAAAAGATATGATTAATTGTCCGTGTAAAAATTTTTTACACTGACAGTATATAAGTGATTAACTCTTAAATTTATCGTACTCATAATGTATTGAAAAGTAATTGTATTTATTTATTATAAAAATTAATTGAAAAGTAATGTAACTTCCGGAGCTCTTTATTTTAATAAATTTAAATATAAATTACATCTTCATGTAAAAGACGCACAAATTATATTGTCGTTCCCTCAATCTTAAATTATCACACTCAGTTTCTTTGAGATGAACAATTAAAATAGTACTTTAGGGAAACTTTTCCTTTCTCTATTACTTTAAAGTTTAAATGTCATCAACCTAACTCTACCACTCGGTTGGTTGAATCATAACTTTTTTTTTTTGTCAAAACTCATCAACAATAAAAAAAAATTAAATGATTTATATTAAAAGTATCCAATTAAATATTTTTGAATAATGTAATAGTTAAGTGAATGTAAAATAGCAACAAAAAAAAAATTAGACCACAGTCATTGGATTAAATAATTTTAAGATCAAACGATAAAATCTTGATTTTTTTTTTATGTAGTTGTATAATCATTACATAATTTTTAAATCTAAGTATTCATGTATGATTATATATGATTCAAATTTACTCATCTCAAATTCTCATACAAACATTTCACTCATATATACCTTGTATGTATTGTATTAATAAAACAAGTATTTGTACCAAGGTGAGAGGAGTAAATATAAATCATATATAAAATTTTACAAGAATGCTTACAATTAAAAATTATTTAGTAATTTCTTTAAAAAGTCACTTAACTTATTTTATTAATCTTAACTTTCCATAATTTGATCTAATAAACCATAGTTCGGTCTTTTACAATAAAAATTCTTTTTACTTGATATGTTTCCTATATAAAAAGTGTTATTAAGTGAAAATTGATAATTATAAATATAAATTATACAATCATGCATGAATGATTGAGAATTAAAGTTATTTAATTGTCACGGACGTTTTTTTTAAAAGAATATGTGCGATTTTTGCTTCTAATATTAAACTATTCAAATTAATATAATTTTAATGATGTATATTTATAATTAATTATAATTTCTCATAAAAAGAAAATTTCTCCTTTAACGCACTATATATAATTTTTGCTAAGGTTATTTTATTTAATAACTTATTATACCTATTAAATTTTATTAACCTAACCATTAAATGTGTTGACATTGATTTAACGACCCCACAGGTCAAATTTTAGATAAATTGTACACTTGTGTACCAATAATTAACATTTGATTATATTTTTACAAAGCATATTATACAGTAAATTAATTTTTAATGGAATATAAAATAACTTTAAATTTTTATAAAATGCCATAGATTTAATCTACGTACTAAATATAAAATTTTAGTTCAACTGTTAAATTAATAAAATTTAATATATATATATATATATATAATTATTTTAAGCACAAATTTTACTACAATTACTCTCTTCAATAAATCTTTAATCATATTTATGTTTAATTAGTTTGAACTTTTTACTTTAGTTTTTCTTCTACTCTAAGTCCCCAATCCGACTAAATCAATTAAACATGCTCATCCTGCCATACTCAAATAATTAAGATTACGGGGGCAAAGGAAAAGGCATCCCATTCTCTTGTTTCAACTGTTGTGTGAGATGGGAAAAATTAACAAAATTATTTTTAATTAAAAATCCATTTTTAATTAAAATTTAACGTGAATCCAACCGATAGAAAATAAGGTCTATATGGAATTTTATGCTGCAATAAGAAAATATTATCAAAAACATAAATTTAGTATATATCCAATTTTATTGTATTATACATGGGTGGTACATCACTCAAAAGTATTTTTTTTTAAGAAATAATTTGAAGTATAATTCAACTCTATATAAATGACTGACCTTATTTTTAATTGAACATTTGTAAATGATCAGATAACGATTTTTTATTAAATGATTTTATAAGACTAATCATATTTATTAGGACATATTTCAATATATTATAATATTATTTTAAGAAAATGATCTAAAATTTAATTCAATTGTATAGAATTGAGTTACTTATATATACTATTATAACATTATTTTATATATATATATATATATATA